TGGAAAAGGTTTGTCTGTTTAAAACATTTTTACTCTGAAAAAGGCTGACAGGAAGTCTTCAGTTGGCAGGTGTCTCACCTGTAGGCTCCTTTTAGACCTGAAGAACAAAAAGGTGCCAGGCACGCTTGACACATGGGAAAACTTAGAAGGAGTGCTAGAGCAAACTATAAATATAACATAAAAAGGATTGTCTGTGACAAGAAAAATCCCAGGTAGGAAGTATTCCCCATTTTCCTTTTCCTTTTGTATGTTGCCTAAAACTATTGAATTTAAAGTTTAATGTTAGTTGTTGTTCTAAATCCAAGATTTTTCAGTATTGCTCCAGATTAAATTAAATACACTTTTATCAAACTTTTAAAATGGAAATGTTGAATATCAGCTCACAGATTTAGTTTTGAAAATAAACTAAAAGAAGAATTTACATTTAAGTCAAGTCAAGGACATTTTAAACAACTTTAAACAGCCTTAGTTAAACGAAGTGCTGTACAGGATGTACAAAAATAAACTATACATAACATTAACTAAATCTTCTGCTTTGCAAACCTACGGTAAGTGCTCTGACAGGAGTCCAGAGTTTTTGATACTCTTTAAAACAAGTAAAAACATTTTCTAATGTAATCACACCATTTCTTTCCTGTCAAGAGGAGAGCTGCTGCTGATGGCTGATTAGTTCAGATTTAGCCAGTTTACGTCTAATTATGATTGTATATCTCTAAGAAAGTTCACCAGTGCCTGAATAGAAGCATAGGTGTTGATTTGCATAGGTAAATATATCAGTAGTCATCTGCACAGCAATGAAAGCAGATATTATGCCTTTCAGAAACTGACCCCGAGGGAAGCATATAAAAAGAAGCGAATGGGGGAAAAGCTTAGTTTTACAGGCCTATACTAGAAGAAGAAAGAAGAGAAAAGAAAGAAGAAATGATGAACACTTTTATCTACAAATAGTAGAAAATATTTAAAAAACCAAAATGTTTATCTGAAATAGAATACGTGGCATATCTTTTTCCTCTGAGTCATTTCTGGTTGCAGAAATGTTAGTAAAATAGTGAATAGAATGTAGTTGCAGAACAAAGTTTAGCATTTTTGCTATTTTGTGTTACGAAATTCAAAAAGGATATGTTAGGTGAAAATAAAACATACAGTTCTATTTAATACTTCACAAATGCTCGAAAAAGGGAAAGAAAGCTGCTCACTGACTTTCTGTAGGAAAAACATCTTAGAGCTCATATTAGAGCTCAACCACCAAGTGTGGTTCAATTTCTTACTCTTAAAACCCCCAAATTACTATCCAAAATATACAGAATGCTTTCTAAAACAGATGAATCAATATCACTTCCTATTGCAAAATGGGAAGCGGATTTATCAGTTAACTTAGACCTAAACTTCTGGTCTCAGATTTGCTTAAAAACCTTTCATCTAATTAGAAATCCCAGTCTTCAATTAATTCAATACAAAATATTACATAGAGTGCACTATACAGGTCATCGGATGTTCAAGATGGGCTTTACGTCTACCAACAACTGCTCACACTGCCAAACCAATTTACCGGACAATTATATCCACGCTCTTTGGTTCTGTCCACCAGTTCAGAAGTTTTGGCGCGAAATATGTGAAGACTTATCAAAGTGTCTGAAATGTAACATTCCAACTTCCCCCTTAGTGTGTTTGTTGGGCAGCTTAGATAATGTCACTTCAGAAAAGAATATCGCCCATATGGTTTTCACTGCCCTATGCATAGCCAAGAAAACAGTCCTCATGAACTGGAAACATAAAAATAATCTTAATTCTAACCAATATAGAAATTATCTATTAGATTACATTAGTCTTGATACAGCCTCTGCCACCACATTAGATCAATTGCTCTGGGCTCCTTTGATCAGCTCCATCACCTAGTGGGGGTGGAGGGGTCTTAGTTTGGTCCCGCCTTCACTGTTGTGATTGGTGTGGGGGTAGGGACAGGCCTAGGGCGTCGGGGGGTTCCCCGGAGGCATCTTCCTTGGGGGGCTCAACCCGGGGTAGCGGTCATGTCCGGTTAGGGGCTCTGTTGGCTCTCAGGTGACTGTTTCCTCGTGGCTGCGTGCAGCGGGGCTAGGGGAGGGTCTGTGCTGACGGACGTGGGTTACTGACCTGGTAGCCTGGCTGCCCCTGGGTGGGTCCGGGATGGGCTTGAGGTTCTGGGGGCGCTCCGTCTCTGGGCTGGGGCCCTGGCCGGGCCTCGGGGGCTTGGGTCCTGGTTGGTGTGTTGCCGGGGTTGTGGGCGGGTGGGTGCATGGGGGCCCAGCCCTGGCGCAGGGTGCCGCCGGTGCGTCGAGCCACCTGGGGGGCTCTTCAACTGGTGGGGGAGATTGTCACATCTTGCAGGAGCTTTCCTCTTCTCAGGAACTCTCTCTGCAGGAAGGGGAGATACAGGAGAGGTGGAGGAAGATCTCAGCCTGGGTGTCTATTGTCCTATGTAGTGTGGAAGATGAGTGGATGGTGGGGTGGGTGCAGTTTTCTCTGTGGTGGGGTTGGGTGGACTGTCCCGGGTTCTGTGGGGCCGGGAGGCGCTGCTGCACTGGTCTGGATGGGCCTGGGCCCCCTTTCCCTGGCGGGTCGCGGAGTATGGGGGTGCCTACTGGGGTCAGCGGGGGAGCTGGCCCCAGGGAGGGGTCACTTGCCCCTCCCTTCCTTCCCTCCCCATCTCCAGCTGCCTCCCTCTTCCCGCTCCACCACAACCACCCACACATGCAGGGCCTTGGAGTAGGGGTGTGTCACCAGGGTGCAGAGGAGGCTACCCCCCCCCCCTCTGTCCCCTTCTGGCTGCCTCTACCTCAATTTTATCCCACAACTTAGACATTCACATTACTCACTCTCATTACACATACATACATGATCTTGGGGGTGGGCACGCTACACGGACTCCAAAAGACCATCAGGGTGTACACCTCACCCCTGGCGTTGTTGCCCACCCCTCAATTTTAAATACACGTAGACATTGAGGGCTAGCAGGAGGGACTATGCGCTTACCTGTTGCTCTCTGGCAGGTAGCTCCATGCCCTCCTGGGTTTTAAATGCACCTTAGAACACACATGCATCAACACTACAATGAGCGGGTGGAGGGAGGTTTGGAGTCTTCTCCCACCCCCATTCTCTGCGGCCTGCTGGAGCGGGGAGGCTAGGAGGAGGAGTTGGCCGTCCGACTGCGGTCTGGAGTGTGGGGCCTCCCTGCTGCTGCGGAGTCGGGGCGGTCTGCCTCTCCCCACCGCAGGGAAAAGGGTAACACCACCTGGGTCTGGGTGCAGTTCCCCCCTCCAGGGGCAAGGGTACCTAGACCCGGTTCGTAGAGTACGCTTGGGGAGTGTGATCGTGTGTACAGCGTCTCTTTATGTCTGTCTCCACGTTGGTTGAGTGTGGAGTAAGTGCATATGAGAGCATGAGGGTGGGAATGGATGTTTGTGTCTGTGTGTGCCTGTATGTCTGTGTCTATATGTCAGGTTGGGTGTCAGGCGCCACCTCTCCGGGGACATCTCAGGCCCTCCAAGGTTTGGAGGTCTATCTCCACCCACCACCACTTCCCCTGCCAGTGGCGGACTCCCTCAGACATCGGTGCGTTGGTGGTTCTTTGTGTCTGGGGATGGGCATCCAGGTACACACCCGCTCACTCCTTGGTGGCCGCTTATCGGGGCCTGGAGCCTGGGGCTCGCTCGGGCCACTTCGGAGGTGGGGTGCCCCCGGCCTCTCGGCCTGGGGCTCGGTCACTCAGGCGCTGCTGGCTGCCGGCGGAGCTCACGGGCGCGTCACTGCAACCCCCCCTGGCTTCTGCTCCGCGGCTGCTGAGTGAACCCTCATCTGGGACTCTCCTCAGCTCTTTCTGGGACAGTGGTGCGGCTGCCCCTCTGTTGGTCTTCCTTGGTCTCTTGTGTTCTGGGGGCCTCTGGATGTCTGGAGTTTTGATCTCCTCCATACCTGCTTCATGCCCTGGAGGACGGGGCTGTGGCCCCCCCACACCCTCTAGCAGATCATTACATGAAGGAACCTTTTAAAAAAAACAAGCGCGTCCATGCTCACAGGTGTACACACGGGTGATCACACCCACAAACTACACCCTTTTTGGCTCCTACCTCAAACCACACAGTGTTTTCTGTTGATCTTATGTGCTGCACAATAATGTTTAATATTTAGTATTTACTGTCATATTCCCATATATCATTGTGATGTTGTTTATTCTATTACTCTTGTTCTCTTCTGCTTGTTTTCTTTTTTCTTTCTCAACAGGTGATCCAGGTGATCGATAGATGCATTTTCTTTTTCTTTTTTTTTCTCTGCCCGTTCTGTTGGTTTTTGTTTTTTGGCCTTCTCCCCCGTCCCTCTTCTCAGCTGTTTCTCTTTCCCTCTTTCTTTCTCCCCTTCTTTCCTCCAGTCAAGTCTGTCCCGTATTCAGCAAGTGAAAATAAAATAAACAATAAAAGGTGAATCAAATGGACCATTATGGCAAGGCTGGGATGGTCAATTTGGTAAAGTAAATCCATTGGGCATCTTTCTTTGCCTTTAGACAATAATTCTGATGGCAAAAGAGCCAAACGGGACAGGCAAAAAATAAATAAATAAATAAATAAAGGAAAAGGAAAAATATCTTAGAGCTCATATTTTGCTCCCACACAAAACACAAACAACTTTTAAAAAGCTAAAATACATTTTTTTTATTGTTGTAAGTTGAAGTGTATTTCATTTGGATGCTATCTATCTTAATTTCATCTCTTCGTTCCAGGTTGTCATAATGGATGGACTGATCTGCCCCTTATCATAAATTCTTATCAACATATCAACATATTAGCAAACATTAATCATTATATTTATTTTATGATTTCATAGATGTCTGTCTGACATTTTTTGCAGCTCTCACACACTTTAATATTGTTGTATTTCAGATTCTCCTCTTATTGTAAATAATGTGGTTCCTAAAACGAGGCTGCTGGCTACAATTATTCAAGTTCAGTGCTGTACTGGGATCACTATGGATGCTTTCACTACTTATTCCACTGAAAAGAGGTAGACGTACTGCCTACATTCTCAGGTATCAATGGCAAGAGTACACCAATATTGATGAGAGCCCAGAGAAAGTTTGCAACTGCTCAGCAATCCTGCAGGGAGAGAAGGAGGCATTGCTGCAAGCCAAATTACTGACCATCACCAACAACTTCCAGAAGGTTATTCAGATCCCTGATGAGTATTACATCAATGCAACCCAAGACTGCAGGTTTGTTGCTCTAAATGGCAGCTTTCAGTAACTCTTTAACTCTTGGTCATGATTTTAATATATGGACTTTTAAAAGCAACGTTACTTCTTCAAAACTGTGAATTTACAGGAAATTCCAAAAAAGTAGGAAATACATAACATTCCCGTTAAGCAAGGAAGAAGAGGAGTTTCCGCTAGCTTACTCAATGGTTGTACATCACAAGGTATGTTTTTTCTCTAATTTTGCAGTGGTCAAATTGGGAATTGATAAAATTCATAATGCTTAACATCTTTATTAGATTACATATACATATATATATATACTGTATATGCAACTTGAATAACAGATTCACCCAATCGGATTAAACTGTTTATTTGTCACACTGGTGATCTTGGTGTTTTATAATTTCATATTATAATGGATATGTCACATTTCTGCTTTAGTTTTGATCATTCATTAAATAACCGTTAAAGCGTTCAATAAACCAACCAGGCAAAAACATTTCTCAAAGAGAACTAAAGTGTTTTATCTTTAGGTGCAGAACTTTGAGCGACTACTGCGAGCTATCTACGCACCTCAAAATATTTATTGTGTCCATGTGGACAAAAAAGCACCGGCCTCAGTCTTTATTGCCATCAATGCCATTACTTCCTGTTTCCCAAATGTGTTCATGGTCAGCAAGACTGTGGATGTGGTCTACGCTGGATGGACACGTGTACAGGCTGATCTTAACTGCATGGCTGATCTCTATAACACCAGTACAACATGGAAATACTTCATCAACCTCTGTGGTCAGGATTTCCCTCTAAAAACTAACTTGGAAATTGTGCAAGCTTTGCGTTCACTGAAAGGAGGTAACAGTTTGGAGTCTGAAGAAATGCCTCAAGGAAAGAAGAAGAGGGTGATGAATGTTTACCAAGTAGTTGATGGACAAATCCAGGTACTTCTTTTGGATATTTTTTATAATGTATGATGTAGCTATTATCAATTCTCTTTGCTATTCTAAAAACCTTCAACTCAGACTGACTCCCCATCATGTTAACTTTTCAATTGTCCCAGCCAATAGGAAAAACAAAGGATCCAGCTCCCTTCAATCTCCCTATACTATCAGGAAATGCCTACATTGTGGTCAACCGAGGTTACATTCGCAGTGTGTTGGAAGACAAGCGAATACAGGCCCTCATTGAGTGGGCCAAAGACACCTACAGTCCTGATGAGTTTCTGTGGGCAACAATACAACGAATGCCTGGTGTTCCTGGTTCAACATGGCCCAACTCTAAATTTGACATGACAGACATTAATGCAATTGCACGGATCGTGAAGTGGCAGTGGCACGAGGGGTCAGAGCGTTCCTTGCAAGCAGCATACCCAGAATGTAAAGGCCATCATGTCAGATCAATATGTGTGTATGGTGCTGGAGACCTGCAGTGGTTGATTGAACAGCATCACCTTTTTGCCAATAAGTTTGATACAGACAGAGATCCCATTGCTATCTACTGCTTGGAGAAATATCTGAGACACAAGGCACTGACTGAGTTAGTTTAGGTGAAGTGTTAATTATCTATTATAAATGACAATTCTATTAGATACTAAAACTATAAACACATTCTTGGATAGCATTGGATCATAATTGTCATGTGGAGATAGATGTGTTATGAAAGTTGAGGATGTACGTAAAATATTAATTTCATTATAGGTTTTTTTTTAAACTCTGCACGTTTTTTAATGTTTATTAAAAATTTAATTACCATTACCTATGTTTATATTTCAGCAGACAAACGTTACTAATCTAGCATGGCGTGTGAAAGTTTCATAACCCAATGGAAAAACTCCTTGTGGCTTGCATAGATACAAATACGAAATATTATTAGTTTCGAAATATTCTGTAAATTCAATTTTATTTACATGACCTTAAATCACAATAACGGTTGCCAATATTATAGAAACAACCCCAACAATCAGATGACAGCCTAAGAGTGAGCTCATGGCAACATTTTTAACAGGAAGAAACAGCCTTAGGAAGGAGTGGCCAACAGCTACGTCTGATTAGGGTGTGAAAGGAAGGAGACAGAGACAGAGATTGAGAATGAATACCATGTACGCCATAAAGAAAGATGTACAAATAAATAAAAGTGATATGATCTAACCTAACTCTCTAAATAATAGACACAGTAAGAATAACTGTCTTGCATTCATGCATGCATACACACACACACACGCACGCACATATGTTCAGTACTAGCACACTTCCCTGATTTTGGGTGTGCGTGTCAGAGTAATTTCAAACTAAAAGCATTACAAACAACTTCTGTTACAGAACAATACAACTCTGCTACTTTATTCTTACAGTGACATAAGGGGTGACAACACTGTAAACACTTAATATAAATATTGACTGAGGGTTAGGGAGTGCAACATAATGTGAAACATTGCTGTATATGAGTGACCCACACCTTCATAATTTCAGCTGGTGTCGTCAAAGTATTTGGATGTTCAAACACAAATGTAAGACAGCACACAAGAATTAATATAACAAAAAACATCACCAAATAACATACTGAATTTATTTTGTTTTTTAATTTCTGTATTACATGTATAAAGACAAATACTTCATCTATATTGAATTTTAATTAGTAAGTGGCATCAGGTGACATAATTTAATTTAAAAATTATTCAATAAATTTCTTTAAAGTAAATTACATCTCCTGTAAGCTTACTGTGCCTTCTGCTCATTTTTGTTGTTTTTTAGATGGGATGGTGGTACTACTCAAGAGCATCACTGTGGCTTTTGAAAATGCGCTATTATAATAACCCAGAGTTAATTATCAATACATATTTGTTGTTAACACATGTTTGGTACAAGCCAATAACAAGACAATCTGAGCTGCATGGTTGAAATAAAAGATGAAGTAAAAGAAAACAAACGTGGAACATAATCAAGTGCTGAGAGTACTGTATTACAGTATAAAGCGTTTTCCTTAAGCACACCACAGTCTCTGCAACACAACCATAGTATTACTGTATATTCAACACGCTCAGATCTGAATTGGATTTTTCTATTTTTTTCTCTTCAGGGAGAAAAGAAGAAAGGCAGCAGCCAAATAACTTACAACACAGCTGAGGTCCCCTTGTGAGAGGGAAATAAAGAAGGAAAAGAAATGAATGAGATTTATTCACAGTAAAACATTGTCGCATGGGTGTGACTTATTTACAGACTGTTTGACTTAAACTGATTTTCACCATGTCAAAGAAATATTTGGTGAATGAGATGTCAAATTCAAAACTTTGAAAAAAAGTACGTTTTATATAGCAGGTCAGCAATAAATATGACATTTAATCAAAATACAGAAGGCTAATCTGTTGTGTTTGGATGTTGTATAGTCTGGAAAGGTTATGTAAAGCTGTTTAACATTACCATTAAATATCTTGGGTTCTACTATTACATCATCATCATCATCATCATCACAGATGAACTACTTCTCATGTTGGCATCCTGTTTGACTGGAACAAACACATTTTCTTTTTCCTCCTCCTTCTTCTTCTTCTTCTTCTTCTTCTTCTTCTTCTTCTAATGTGGACAAACATTTCCTGGTTTGAAATGGGAGCAGCTTTACTCTATTAAATGGAAGCAGTGGAATACTTACATATCACTTACTTTGGTGCTCTTTCCTGCAATTCTGTGTGGAGAGCAAAAGTAAGTGAGGCACTATACTGTCAGTAGATGTGGGGAAAAAACAGGATTAATTGACAAAAAGAAAAACAAGGTGAGAATTCAAGATCAAAGCAAGGTACTGCAGTACATGGGGTGTAACAGTTTTTCTAAAATGAGTCAATATTTGACACTTAAACAAGAGAATAGATAAGAAGTGGTGTTATGCGGTCTTTTACAGAAAGGCAAGCAGAGATGACAATATGCACACTAACAAACACTCCTTCATCCTTCATTTCCCTGTTTAACAAGATAACATTTTTAAAACAAGCCATTTTTGCTGTCTGTCTGTACTCTACGTGGACGTCTTTACTTTCCTGCACTCCTTCCTGCATGAAGAATGCTACAATAATATTACTACACCTCACCACACATAAAATTTTCAATTTAATTGCACATAAAATTTAGTGGCTGTCCTGTGAGGACCATATATCTATTGAAAAATTGTTGTTCATCAGCTCAGAAACACAGGCCTACATCTTGATTTTCAAAGAACATTAAAATATATGAAACCTTTTTTAAATCAGCTAAATCATCAAGTCCATTTGTTCACTTTATTAGTTTCGTTTGCAGTTATTTCATTAATATAATTCATTAATCATTTTATTTAAACCTAACATTGATATTATGAGGCGCACACATAATAGCATTGTGTGGTTTTTCTAAAAATGTTTTCTGTTATATTAATTATGTTTCTCTTTCTCTGAGTTACCTGGTTTGGGGCGGTGGCTGTTTCCTGTCTAGGGCAAAAGGCGTGGCTGAGGATGAGAACAAAATGCCTGCTCAGCAGGACCGACCATGTTCTATCAGAAACAGGGGTTTTTTTTAGGTTTACTTATGTTGTTCTGTGCTTAGTATTAGTTTGTGTTTTTGTTTCCCCCTTTTGTGTGTAAATGGTTTGGCCAAATCACTATAAACCTACCCTCCTGTGTCTTTGTAATTAGTTTAGTTTGTGAGTTAAGTTGTCTCCACTTTGTTTGTTTAAGTTTCTGGAAGTTACTTTTTGTAGAGTTATATTTAGTTGACCTCTTTTATGGGCCCGCTAATTATGTTTTTGAATTTTGCCTTTTGAACTTTTTTAAGGGTTAAAATAAAGAAAACCAATTTTGAAGACATTTTTTCCTGTACCTTCTGTGCCTTGGCTGCTTGGTCCTCACAGTGACATGTTATAAAAATATTAATAAGAACAAATGTGGAGTTTGGCAAAACAATTAATTGAACTTCTTACGTTCAGATATCCTCTTAGATGTTAATCCTAAAGTGCTCCTGAGCCTGCACCTCTTCAACTTGCCTGTTTTATTAGACCGGGCATATTCACAGCTGGCGTCCTCTCTCCATCATTGTCAATGTTTGTCGTGCTGATAACTAAAGAAGTTATTGACAACTTTTTCAAGCTACATCTTCTTTGCATGATATTGGCCAAATATCGATAGCATCAATACCAACACTATTATCAGTATCTAACTGACACTAACGCAATTGTATTGATACTTTGTTTCTGTTCTCAAATTCTAGTATGTATCCAATTGAACTGTGTTAAATACATTTTATTATAATTTTCATTTAAAAAATACACCTCAAATTTGCACATTGAAAATTTTCTGAACCTTTTTCTGTTGACTGTCACGTTGATTCATTATTATGGAGTGCCAGGACTGCCATAATGAATTAATTAAATGTGGCAATAATTAATTAAAATTGGAATTAATTAATTAAATAAATAGTTATGACACATTTAATTAATTAATTATTGACACATTTAATTAATTATTTATGTATTTCACATTCTAATTAATTATTGACACATTTAATTAATTAATTATTGACACATTTAATTAATTATTTATGTGTTTCACATTTTAATTAATTATTGACACATTTAATTAATTATTGACACAATTATTTAATGATATATTTATTTATTTCATTTTGGCAGTCCTGGCGCCTGGCTCTCATCATGAAATAATTTTATCTGTCAGCCTCACCCATCAAACTCAAGGGGCGGGGTTAAGGCTGATCGAGTCAAAACCATCCGGTTGTTCAGTGATGACGCGACGAATCCTACTTCCGGGTCTAAAGTAGTCTGCGTTTAATATGGCTTTTGTGTTGTTAACATGTTTAATGTTATGCATTTTCTTCTATTTGATCTCAAAAAGCTCCTAAAACAGTCAGTGATCACTGTTGACCTCCCTCGTCTTTTATTACCGCTAATCATTTATTTAAGCTCAGTTTTTAAAACCTTAGGATGTAGCTACAGCCCAGCCCATGCAGCAGTATATGAATGACTAACCTCGTATTGTGGATGGATTATCTCAGTTGTTCTCCTGGCTGAAGTTTGGTCCTTTTACAGCATCCTGCCATGCGATTACATTTGTTCCTGACCACCGAGAACACTCACGGTAACTTTTATCGAGTGGAAAAAAGGTTAGCTTGTTTATATTATGCTAACATAGCTGTGTGTCGCTAGCAGTCACGTAGCACATAAGATAAGATAAGATAAGATAACCTTTATTAGTCCCACACGTGGGAAATTTGTTTTGTCACAGCAGGAAGTGGACAGTGCAAAAGTTATGAGGCAAAAATTAGAATACAATAAGAATAAATACAGTACACAGCTGTACAGAATAGAATAAAATAAAATACTATATACAGTAGAATAAAATAAAATAAATATACAATAAGATAAAAATAGAATACAAATACAAATACTATATACAACTGAGTAAAAATACAACGATGACAGAAAGGATTATTGCACTTAGTATTATTGCATATGTATGGATGTGTGTGCTTGATCAGTTAAAGTCTTTATTATGGAGTCTGACA